GGCATGGGCGATTGTGATTGTGTACATGGAAGTCGATACCATGCCGATTGCCGGAGGCGGTTCTATGAGCAAGTTTGGAAACGGCGGTATACTCCGTTCCAACTGGACGAGGAAGATGACATGGTGATCCATCTCGACAGGGAAGAAGAAGAACGCGAACAACAAACCGAGAGCAGCCTTTTGAAAATCCAGAAAGAAGGAGAGCCGGTCACTTATCCATCACCAAAAGAGCAAGCCAGTCTTGCCGCATAGTCACTTCTTGTTCTAAAATTGTCCCAACCCACCAACAACCCATTTTACCGACAAACCAGTATCGCTTTCTAAACGCGTTCTCTCCTCCATGTTAATACTTTGCATCTGACTCCCTCTTCCACTTGAACTCATTTTATATCACTTCATCTGGTATTCCTCAACCTGTACAAATTCCCAGTTCTAATAGACCCTTTTATCCACAACCATCGCGAATGCTAATTACCATAAATAGTAACTCTACTATATGCATATATCTCACTAACATATAGCGATCCGTGCCCATCCGTGTTGACGGACTTCATACATAAAAGGGCAAAAGGCAAAACAATCTACAGCTCTTCAGCATCATTGAGAACAGCACGCACACATATTATATGCTCTACATCTTAGATCCCATCCTAACTTCCATCGGGAAAAAGACGTATATAAGGCTTACCACGTTCGCGCTAACATATACGGTCTTTGTTGATTTGACGTATTTAAAAGAAACACGTTCTTGGCTTGATGAACGTTGTGTCTCACGGATACGCCGTTTCGAGTCCCAGCAGTCGAATGGCTTCGTCATTCGTCGGTCAAAACCTTTGGGAACGAGCGCTGCTTCCATACGATTTCCAAAAGGTCTTACGTGAAATGTACTGTCTACACTCTCAAATGTGCTGTCTACACTCTAAATGTGCTGTCTACATTCTAAATGTAAGTGTAGACAGCACATTTCAAAGTGCTTGCCCTATTTCTCTACTAGACATTAATCAGGCAGATTAGCAGTAACTACTATACAAACTTCCACACTTTGAGAAACCGTTTAACTCCTTTTCATAAGCTGTTAAAAATAAAAATGGATAAAAATACATGCGTTGTATCATACAAATAAAGAATGAGCGATCTGTGATGTTTTGATTATGCTATCTGAAAGACGAATTAGGTGCAGGGAATCTATCTTGCTGTAGACAGTAGTTTAAAGCCCAAGACGGTGAGAAGGTTGATGAAAATGAGGGTAAAAGTGGTGTGCTTTGTGTATTGGAGTGCTGATTCACATTATGGTTTTGTCGTGGGAAATATCGTGCGGTTATGTCGAAGATTCATCCCATAATGATTTGTCGCCGACTAATCCGCCTACAGTATCCGTTCCAGCGGTACTTGCCGGTCCATTAGACGTGGCGTTGTTAGCGGTGCTGTTGGTTCCTAATATATCGGTAGGAAACAGTGACGATCCGGCCATATATACAGATGGATAAGTACCCATATCACCCAGAGGCATAGTCGTCGCTGCAGCTGCTGATGAGCCAGTTGGTGTTGAAGGACTGGGTTTTGCAGCATCGAACATGATTTGACCGAATAAGGCACTGTCATACAAGAATTCCGAGCTGTTGAAATCGATCTCACCGTCACTCGTTGTGAACGGGAAAGATTCTGCTAAAAGCGGCAAGGCAGATGTTTGCTGGGGCGGAGGATCTCTTGTTTCCATCTGTGCAAATCCTGCCTGCTGCTGTTGTTGATGTGGTTGCGAATTCTGTGCTTGTTGCTCCATGTCCTTCTCTCTATCCCGTTGTTGCGGCTGCTCTTGCTGTCTTTCCTGTCGCCCCTTTTCTCTTTTCTGATTATTGCTTGTTGTGCTCGTCACTGGTGTTTCAGTAGTGTTTTCCACGCTAGAACTTGCTGGTGAAGCAGCTGGAACACTGTTATCATTTGACGATAAAGGAGAAGCATCCGTGGTACTTTCGTTCATCTCGCTCGCATTGGATGATTTTGAATAGTAATCATGTCGATACTGGGTATCGTAGAGTCGGCTATGCGTCAATAGGAGATCTCTTGTCGTAAGAGCTAAACGCTCGCACATCGGCCAGTATGGTGCCAGACCCTGTTCATGTTTTTAGAGAACATTCCAAGTACATACAATAGTTTGAAAATGCTCAGAAATAAACGATTCTGCTTACATCAATCATCGCGTACAAAATTCTCAACGCGCTACTGCTCTTTTTGAACGACTCTCCATCCTTGGAAAACGTAGAAGTCATCAAAACCGTCGCACAAATATAAGCGCTGTAACCCATGTACGGTAACACGTTAGGTCCAGAAAGCTCCTTCAAGGCTCTAAATATAATCATCGCTTCGTCGATGGAAACTTTGCAGCAGCTTATACTGGCTTGGATGCGTCGATACAAATCTTCAGGGACATCCTTAAGCTCGACTTCGCTGTAAGCAAGACTACCGCGGTGCAACACCATCATTGTTGTGCACCATACTGCGTGGGTTGACAGCCACAAGGTCAGATAATTTCTACTGGCACCTCGTTTATGAACGCTGAGATTGTTTAGGGAAAATTGGAACTGCTCTGGAAGGTCACTCTTCCAAGAGCGTAATCGTGCATCGAGGTTGTTGAACTCAGGAACCGGCGGCCAGGTGACGGACTCCGAATCGGATTTGGCCTTCGTCATAAACTTGTTTGCTTCACCAAAGATCATCATCATGCGCAAATAGTGTCGAGTAATATCCATCAACGAGTCGCTGTTTAGCTCTCTGCCTTCAACAGAGACACATTGGAATAAGTCGCGAAGCAGTATACTTTCGGTGACGTTTGGCAATACTGCATCACAGTCAGAAGTATCGAAATATTGCGGGCGTGATGTGCCTGCACTAGCAAATCTAATAAACAACCCCGGAATCTTAGTTTTCAAGTTACACCAACGTCGGAAAAGAAAACAAAGAGCACAAGACATACTTGTCCAAACAATATGAACTCCAAAAGATTCGCCGTCGCAATGCCATGGCAGCTGTATCCACGGAGCCGTCTTTCTTCAAAATAGGTGCACTCAATGTTTCTTCTCTATTGAGACCAAGTTCTTGACATATTCTGTAGAAGCCATAAACAAATGTGGGAATTAGTCTCGAGCATGTCTCGTATCATGTAAAGCCTCTATCACCTACCTTACTGCCAAGCCTCCATAGATCCATGCCCTAACAATACATTAGCTTTCTAAACATAATTTCATCTTGTGGTTATAAAGATGGATTCTCGTTTTTCTAACCTTGATCCTGATGCGCGTCCGTACTCTAAACAAGCCATATTACCCCAAAATTGCAAATTAGGTATAGTAGCCTCAAGCATGGTTGCATCAATCAACGACGTTGCTTTCACCGCAAATCGTTCTCCTGCCCAATATGGAGGATCTGTTCTGATAGAAGGATGGTCGGAAAATCTAAATTTTCGCTCCTACGATTTAGTCATCTATAGATCCCAACAGACCCTCACTTTTTATATACTATAGCAAGATGAGAGCTCCCACAGGAAGTATACAACAGTTTCTTATTACCTTGCGCCAATACCCATAATACTCCATAGTAGTGGTTTGGATACCGTGCCGTTGTGGATTGACTGCTTGAGTGTTCTTCGATGAACAATTGGGAAAACGGAATTAAGATGCTGGAAAAAGAGGTCGACAAGGTGCATTACGATATCCATAGGAAGATAGGATTCACCATCACTGTATAGATTTTGCCCAGGCCCTGCAGAAAGACTCTTTGGAATCCCCTCATTGATACCTAAAGCAATCATTACAGCATTAACTAATGTAAGTAACTTAATGCGCATATGGTCATCATTTACACTCGGTAACACCATACTTTTCTTTTCCATGATACGCCGTGGCTCCACACGAAGAAGTGTATCAGGATCATAAATAGCACCAGTTACTGCAGGCATTGTCAGCTTCTTCCTTTCAGCAGCAGCAGCATCATCAGTAGATATTCTTTGCTCTAGCTGCGCTAAGCGTTCTTCGAGTATTTGGACGTATCCTTTGCGCGGCCCACGTTTTCGACATTCCGAATATTCGCAAGTAATGTTTGCCTCCTGGCAATGTAAACATTCAGGTTTGGTGCCATCGCATTTGATCTAGGTTGCATATATTTTTTAGCTACTTGAAATGACAACGCCTGTGCTTTTATTTTATTAAAAGGCTCTGTTTGTTTGTTCCTGTACCTTCTTTTTCCTGCATAAAATACAGGCTTGAGTTGCTCGAACACGCTTTTTGCCAGCAATAGAATGCGAATCGTCAGAGACCTCGTGTTCCCTCATTGGCTTTTGAACTTTTAAGAAAAAGAAGAAAAAAAACGAATCTTTGTGTGTGGGAATTATCGGGCAAATATTAAGCGGATCTGCTTTCCCCACAAAAAACTGCGTTGGATAACTCCAACCATCTGCATTGAGCACACTCGAAGGGGCGGTGGGTTAATCATTCCTCCGCTCGGCTGTGTCCGACTAGTCATCCGTTTTAGGACGAACAATTTTCCCATAGGCACGCATGCTAGGTAAATCAGGAAGCGCCTTAACTTGTTTTAGCAAGCTAAAGCATAGAAACGCCAAATCATTGGCCAACACGGATATTTTTCCCGTCGATTACTCTGCTTAGATCAACGCAGATATCAAGTAATAACATGCCCCTTTGCATAGGTGGCGTCAATAAAGCTTCTAAAGATGGCATCGCTAGCATTTAATGTAATATTACGTACGTATCATGAAAATTTTATCATTAGCATCACAAAAAGACCATAGATTGTTAAGACTTATTGTTACATAATTAGAACATAACAATACGTGTACGTATTAATCCAAGTTGTACACAAATTGAGCACACAATGGCAGAATGCACGTTTTACTCACGAAATGTCAATAATGGGATCAAGGGTGACACAACATTCGATATGTGAAGGAAAAAGTACTATTTGTAACTAATCTCCGTTGCAAGAGGATTACATGCATAACAATTGTATTGAAACGCGACGATGAGATGTACATAAATATAGCCAGTCTACAAGCGAGCATCATACAAAAGCAGATGTGGTAGATAGTGCGGCTATTGAAAAAGAAGATGGGGTTGCAAACTAGAGTTACCCAATCTACAATATGTCGAACAGTTGTTCAGATATATGCGAAGGGTTTATCGGACCGAATTATTCTTGAGAGTCCATAATTGAACGGATTCCTTCTGGATAGCAATGCAAGCTCGAATGCTATAATAGCATCATTGTATGTCATCTTTCCAGTCTTATTATATTACTTGTCGTGGAATTTACCAGTAGGCAATGAATAAAGCCAGATGCAGGTACATCAATCAACAACACCGAAAGGGGAACTCTCCGAGAGCTCAGCTATCCATGCTTTATATATGATCTAATACGTGTGGATATACGTATTGAACACTAACATCTTTTAACAGAGATGTTTACGTTGGAGAATTTCTTCGAAGAGTATTTCGCTCGATTAAGCTCAAACGCGGATCGCGAAATCAACATCCGAAGCAAAATGCGGGAGATGCGGTAAACGGGAAAAGCAAGAATTATTTCACACACAACAACTTTCCGTTTCCGACAAAAGACACTGCAAGCACTTATTTATTATGCACCCGTGGGTAGTAGTGACAACCAACATCACTGCATCATCAGTAAATAGTTCTGGTTTTAGATTACTGATACGCAATGAGCATACAAAAATGTGTTTTTTTTTTCTAAAAAATGAAAAAAATAACAAGATGCTTATGAAAAGTATCTAGGGAACGGCACTTAATGTATCAAAGAAAAGGAGAAGGGGTCTTTTCTCCCGAAATCTTGGGCAGCTATGTAGCAGTGTAGTGTTGGGACTGATGCTACACGTTGACATAGTGTCATGAGCTGCTTTTTTTTTCTTCTACAGCAAAGAAGTACTTTCGCTTGTTTCAGTAAGTAGTGTCGGTGAGAGAGCCTGGTAAGGCAGTAATGAATAAGTAGTAATAGCAAAACGTGAAAGGCTTTAATTGGCTATATCTTGTTACATCGTTTATCACCAAAGCTCTTGCTCGACCTTAGATCGATCAGACTGGTATGCCATCATGTAAAGGACTTTTCCAATCCCTGTGGAGCAATTCTTTTCAGAAGACCGAGGATTCAGTGAACATCTTGATTGATACCTTGCTTTTATTTCTGCTCGAGTAAAACGCTTGCCGATGGATAACATGTCTTGAACATATTGACGTAATGCATTCATATCCGATGTGGCGAGTTTCATCTTGCTGTTCGTGACACCTTTATAATGTCATGTTTCGACGTGGGTATTAGCCGACTTGGCTTTCAAAGTTGTTTACACTTACCTTCGAGCAGACGGCTTACCCTGCCTGGTATGGCAGATCGAGCGGATATTCGCTTATGGAACGCTTCTCTTGATGGCAAGTTCCAATCCCACCGTATGCTATAGAACTTTTCTGTGGGTACGGTGCCTGACACAACCCTTCCACTCCAAATAAAAAAATCGTCTAACTTGAAAGCATCGAAATATTCCATTGTGCGTTGCATAGGACAGCAAGTTGTCTGTTGCTTTGATTAATGAAATTGACTTTTCTTTAAAGCACCCACGCACGGCTTCAACGATACTTGATCGCTTCCTCAGGATGAAACTAACTTTGTACATTACATTTTCAGAACAACCCAGATATATGCCTTATCGTGAACTGCAACCAAATATTGAATTCGTGAGTTATTTTATAATGTAGCCACTACCTTTGCCTTTCGCTACTCCCTTTCCAGCACTTTTTCCTTCTTACAGCATAAGTCTTTTGCTTCGGTACATCATTCAGTGCCATAACAATTATAACACTCATATGCATATTGTTCGTTAGATCAAATAAACTCCAATTTAATTTTGATAATATATATATGTATATAATGTGTAGAAAAGGAAAAGAACGCAAGCTTTGTACAATGGATATGTATATATGAATGTATAAGATTAAAGATTTGTTGTTTTGTGTGGGCAATGTAAGAACAGTAGTGATAACTTAGGCGGAAGCTTCAATGGCCTGTCGGTTGACAACGGCACGGCGGTTGATACCACCAGCAACAGGCAAGTAAGTGCTGCCTTCCAAGAAGAGATCGACTTCACGAGCGCACTGGCGACCTTCGTTGATACCCCAGACGATGAGGGACTGACCACGACGGCAATCACCAGCAGCAAAGACACCAGGAGCCGAGGTGACATACTTGCCCTTGGAAGTCTCGACGTTGCTGCGACCATCCTGCTTCAAGGAGAGCTGCTTGACGACGGCTTCTTCAGGACCCAAGAAACCCATGGAAAGCAAGATAAGGTCAGCCTGGAAGAACTGCTCGGAGCCCTCGACTTCCTTCATCTGCCAGCGGCCGGAGGCATCCTTGGTCCATTCGACGCGGACAGTGTTGATACCGTTCACGTTGCCATCAGCATCCTTGGTGAACTCCTTGGACAAGACACAGTATTCACGAGGGTCCTTGCCAAAGTGGGCCTGGACTTCTGAGTGACCATAGTCGACCTTGAATACACGAGGGAATTGAGGCCATGGGTTGTCGTTGCCACGGCTGACAGGAGGAGTAGGCAACAATTCAAAGTTGACGACCGACTTGCAGCCGTGACGGAGCGAAGTACCAATACAATCGTTACCAGTGTCACCACCACCAATAACAACAACGTGCTTGTCCTTGGCAGAGAGATAGTGGCCGTCCTGCAAGTTGGAGTCCAAAAGAGACTTGGTGTTGGCTTGCAAGAACTCCATGGCAAAGTGAATGCCGTTGGCTTCGCGACCAGGGATCTTCAAATCACGGGGCCAGGTGGCGCCAGTGGCGACAATAAGGGCATCGTTCTCGTTGCGCAGAGTGTTGGCATCAACGTCAACACCGACGTGAGCGTTGGGAACAAAGGTAACACCTTCGGCAGCGAGCAAATCGACACGGCGTTGGACGATCTTCTTGTCGAGCTTCATGTTGGGGATACCATACATCAAAAGACCACCAATACGGTCATTACGGTCGTAGACAGTGACCAAGTGACCGGCCTTGTTCAACTGATCGGCGGCGGCGAGACCAGCAGGGCCTGAACCGATAACGGCGATCTTCTTGCCTGAGCGCTGCTTGGGAGGTTGAGGAGCGATCCATCCTTCTTCGAAACCCTTGTCAATGATTGCGCACTCGATGGACTTGATAGCAACAGGTGGCTCAGAAATTCCCAGAGTACACGAACCCTCACATGGAGCTGGGCTAAAGTAAAGAAACGACATTAACCATGTTAATAAAACGTGTCTTGGAATAATATAGACAGTAACTTCGTAATTCAAGTACTTACCAGACGCGACCAGTGAATTCAGGGAAGTTGTTGGTCATGATCAAGCGATCCAAAGCCTGCTTCCAGTTATCCTTGTAGACAAGCTCGTTCCACTTTGGAATGACGTTACCGATAGGACAGCCAGTGTCCGACTGACAGAAGGGAATACCACAGTCCATACAACGAGCGGCTTGTTCGTGGAGCTCAGGGCGGGTCAAACGGTTGTTGATCTCCTCCCAGTCACCAGCACGCTTCTTGGCGTTACGGTAGTGTTCACCACGACGCTTGTACTTCATGAAACCGCGGATCTTGTCGAGCTTGGCACGGCGTTCAAGGACGGTAGCCTCATCCATCAAGCTGTCTTCGACATCATCGACAACGGGCTCAGGCGCGGCTTCAACAGGCTTGTGATCGCACTTCTTGGGCTCTTCCTTGGTAGCGGCGGCGGCAGCAGCTTCCTTTTCAGCACGGGCCTTCATGAGCAAAGCGCGATACTCGACAGGCATGACCATGACGAACTTGGGCAAGTATTGGTTGAAGTTCTTGAGGACACGGTCGGCAATTTCGGAACCAGTGTAGTGGCGATGATCCTCGATCAAATCACGCAACTCGGCAACACGCTCGGGATCGTTGACAGTCTCCAACTCGACCATTTCCATGTTGACATTCTGCTTGAAGTTGCCCTCCATATCCAAGACATAGGCAATACCACCAGACATACCAGCAGCAAAGTTGCGACCGGTGCTGCCGAGAATGACAACACGACCACCGGTCATGTACTCACAACCGTGGTCACCGACACCTTCACAGATGGCAATAGCACCCGAGTTACGGACACAGAAACGTTCAGCAGCCATACCACGGAAGTAAGCGCGACCAAAAGTGGCACCGTACAAACAGACGTTACCGACAATGACGTTCTCTTCAGACTTGAACAAGGCAGTCTTGGGAGGGTAGATGGCGACCTTACCACCAGACAAGCCCTTGCCGACATAATCGTTGGCATCACCTTCCAATTCGAAAAAGACACCAGGGGCAAGGAAGGCACCGAGAGACTGACCGGCAGAGCCCTTCAACTTGATGTGGATGGTTTCATTAGGCAAACCAGCTTCGCCGTGACGCTTGGAAACGTTGTAAGACAAGGTGGTACCAAGAGCACGGTCGGTGTTGACGACATCGCTTTCAATATAGACCTTCTCCTTGTTGGCCAAGGCAGCTTCGGCCTCATCGATGAAATAGTTATCGAGACGGGTGTGCAAGTTGTGGCGTTGCTTGGTAACACACACGTTGGCAACGCCAGGACGGAGCGAAGCAGCGGGGGTGAGGATGGGGCTCAAGTCAAGGTTGGCAGTCTTGAAGGTGCGGAGCGACTCGTTGACGCGCAAGAACTCGGCGTGACCGACCATCTCGTTGATGGTGCGGAAACCAAGCTTGGCCATGATGGAACGCATTTCTTCGGCAAGGTAGAAGAAGAAGTTGACAACGTGTTCAGGCTTACCCTGGAACTTGGCGCGCAATTCAGGGTCTTGGGTAGCAATACCGACAGGGCAAGTGTTCTTTAAAAAATTAGAAAGATTAGCAAAATGCATTCGTTACACGTGATTGAGAGAGAAAATTATTCTTACCAAGTGGCACTTGCGCATCATGGTACAACCAAGAGCAATCAATGGGGTGGTAGCGAAACCCCACTCTTCGGCACCGAGCAAACAGGCAACAACAGCATCGCGACCGGTCTTGATCTGACCGTCGGTCTGGACGATGACACGACCACGCAAGTCGTTCAAGACCAAAGTCTGATGGGTTTCGGCAAGACCCAATTCCCAAGGCAAACCGGCGTACTTGATACCGGTCCAACGCGAAGCACCAGTACCACCGTCGTGACCAGAGATCAAGATGTGATCAGCACGAGCCTTGGCGACACCAGAAGCTACAATACCAACACCGACTTCGGAGACAAGCTTGACGGAGACACGAGCGCGGGGGTTGGAGCACTTCAAGTCATAGATAAGCTGCTTCAAATCTTCAATGGAGTAAATATCGTGGTGAGGAGGAGGCGAGATAAGACCGATACCCTGTTGTTTGTTGTACAAACACATTAGTAAATACACTCCTTCACGTAAAACACAATCAGACGGAAATTAAAACTTACAGGAGTAGTCTTACGAGTGCTAGCAATTTCCTCAGAAACCTTGCCACCAGCCAATTCACCACCTTCACCAGGCTTGGCACCCTGAGCCATCTTGATCTGCAATTCGTTCGAGTCGGACAAGTAGAACGAGGTCACACCGAAGCGACCAGAGGCAACCTGCTTGATGGCAGAGCGCATGGTATCACCATTTTCCATGGGCAACGAACGCTCGGGCTTTTCACCACCTTCACCCGTATTGGATTTACCGCCCAAGCGGTTCATGGCAATAGCCAAGGAAGAGTGAGCCTCCATGGAGATGGAACCGTAGGACATGGCACCAGTGACGAAGCGCTTGACAATGTTGGTCCAATCCTCGACCTCTTCGATAGGGATAGGCTTGGCGTCGTCAAAGTTGAACTCGAGCATACCACGGAGAGTACACTTCTTGATGGCCTCGTAAGCATTGCGCGTGTAAGCATCATACGAGTTCTGGTTCTTTTCGCGGACAGCGTCTTGCAAGTGAGCAACACCCATGGGGTCAGTAACGTGGGGCTCACCGCCATGGCGCCAGTGGTATTCACCCGATTCAGGCAACGAGACGGGTTGGACGACGTTGCGGGTAGGGAAACCAGCTTCGTGCAAGGTCAGAGCATCGAGAGCAAAGATGTCAAAGGTAGCACCCTTGATACGGGAAGCAGTACCGGCAAAGCAGCGGGAAATGACAGAGTCGTCAATACCCAAGGCTTCAAAGATCTGGGCACCCTTGTACGAGGCCAAGGTGGAGATACCCATCTTGGACATGACCTTGTGGATACCGTTGTCGATACCCTTCTTGAAGTTGTTGATCAACTTGGTGGGGGTCAAGTCTTGGTGAACAGCGTTCTCGCGGTGCAACTTCATCATGGTTTCCATAGTCAAGTAAGGGCAGATGGCGTCGACACCATAGCCGACCAAGACACAGAAATGATGGACTTCACGGGCTTCGGCGGTTTCAACCATGAGGGCGATACGGCTACGCTGCTTGTTGCGGACCAAGTGGTGGTGGACACCACCGGCGGCAATCAAGGACGAAATGGCAACACGGTCGGCATTGACGGCGCGATCGGACAAGACAACACCCTTGTAACCTTGCTCAATGACGGAAGAGACTTCGGCGCACACACGCTCCAAAGCGTCGACATAGCCCTGGACACCATCGGACTTGGCAAAGGTGATATCAACGGTGGCGACCTTCCAGTCGGGGTAGAATTGGGACATGGACTTGACTGCGTTCAATTCTTCCATGGTGAGGATAGGCGACTTTAAGTTCAAGCGGTGAGCTTGCGACTCGTTGATTTCCAGAATGTTGCCCTCTGGACCAACAGAGCACTCGAGCGACATTACGATTTCCTCACGAATAGGATCTATTCCATCAATTCAGGGCAATCACGAATGAGTTTCTCTTTCCGTTTCCTGAAGACAATATGCACACATGTTCCCAAAAAGATAACTTACCAATAGGAGGGTTAGTAACCTGAGCGAAAAGCTCACGGAAGTACTCGTAGATGAGACGAGGCTGTTCAGCCAAGCAAGCAAGGGCAGCGTCGTTACCCATGGAGCCGAGGGCTTCCTTGCCAGTAGAGGCCATGGGGACCATGATCAAGTTGAGCTGTTCCAAGGTATAACCAAAGGCCTTCAAGCGGGGATCAGCCTGAACGGTAGATTCATCGAGTTGGGCCTCGAAAGGCTTGACGCCGTTGGTCTTTTCGACGAGATCGGGCAAAGTGATGCGCTGATTCTTGATCCACTCGGAAAAGTTCTGCTTGGCAGCGGTCTGGAGCTTGAGCTGCTTGTCATCGACAATGACACCCTCGACGGTATCGACCAAAAGCATACGGCCAGGTTGCAAGCGGCCTTTTTGGATGACGGTGTCCTGATCGACAAAGACGGTGCCGACTTCGGAAGCACAGATCATAATGTCATCGTTGGTGAGGTAGTAACGGCAAGGACGCAAGCCGTTACGATCCAAGGAAGCACCACAGTAGCGACCGTCGGAAAAGGTGAACAGAGCAGGACCGTCCCAGGGTTCCATCAAGGAGGCAGCCCATTGGTAGAAGGCCTTCATTTCCGGGGCCATCTGGTCGTTGTTTTGCCAGGCTTCGGGAATCATCATCATGACAGCCTCGGGCATGGTGAGGATGCCGTTGATGACCAACAGCTCGAGCACGTTATCGAACGCAGCAGAGTCGGAGCCACCTTCTTCAATGATAGGGTAGAGCAATTCAAGCTCATCTCCAAACTTGTCCGACTGCATGACACCTTCACGCGAGCGCATCCAGTTCTTGTTGCCACGAAGGGTATTGATTTCACCTGATTGTGTGTTTTAGTTGATCATATTACTTTTCCTTGTCATTGATCATGTTTTGGAATAGCAAAGAAAAAAAAGAGAGAGAGAGAGAGAAAGCTTACCATTGTGAGCGCACCAACGCATAGGCTGAGCACGATCCCAGGAGGGGAAAGTGTTTGTCGAGAAACGCGAGTGAACAAGAGCAAAGTGGGTGGTGTATTGGACATTGTTCAAATCATGGAAGTACTGGTAAACCTGACGAGGCGTCAACTGACCCTTGTAGACAATGTTCTTGTTCGACAAGGAGCAGACATAGAACCACTTGGCCATGGTGAGGGTATGGGTAGCATGCTTGCGCAAGACATAGAGCTGACGCTCAAAGTAGCGCTCATCAAATTCGTCTTGAGCCAGCACGACGAAAGGCTGCTCAATGGCGGGTTCCTTGCTCTTGGCCGCCGGGCCCAAAATGGTCGAGTCTCGAGGGACAGAACGCCAGCCCAGTACCTTCAAGTGCAAAGCAGTGGCCATTTCTTCAAACACGCGCTTGGATTCGCTGACGGTCTCAGGGTCGCCCTTCATGAACAGGTTACCGACGGCATATTGGCCTTCGACGGGAAGCTGGATACCCAGCTCGCGTGTCGTTTCATTGACGAAGAACTGATGGGGAATGCCGGTCATGACACCAGCACCGTCACCGTCGCGGATATCGGCACCGCTGGCGCCTCGATGTGTCATGTTGCAGAGAATGTTGCTGGTGTCGGTCACGATCTTGTGGGATCGGTGGCCCTTGACGTGAACCATGAAGCCGACACCGCATGCGTCCTTTTCGTATTCGGGATTGTACAAGCCCTGAGCGGCAGGGATGGCTTCGGCCCATGAGGTGTTCTTAGTGGTGGTGGGAGTAGTGATAGTGTTGATAGTCGACGACATTGTTTGTTGCTTGGATGAGGCGAGAGTCTTTTTTTTATAGAGGAAGTATGTAGATGCTGTATGTACAGTTAGAGAGTAAAAGAGATAGCTGCTTTGTAAGAAGTATGTATAATGAAGAAAGAAGAAGCAGGCGAGGGTGGGGAATATGTGCGGTAATGAACAAAAAGAGAACACGCGAGCGAGATAGAGAGAGAGAGAGAGGGGGGGTTTTTTGATCTATACGAGAGAAAGAAGCAAATAAGAAGAGTGGAAAAGAGAAAGACGCAGCAAGAAAGAAACCGAAAAAATTTGAGAAATGGAGGCACCCTTTATTAGATCCGGTTCTGGTCGAGGACGTGGTGGGTGGGTGCTGCTGCTGCTGCTGGTGATTGTAGTCGCCTCGCCTGGGCTGGCTTACGATAATCCCGGATCCCCTTATCTCGGACGACGGATAACCAATGATAACATCTTCTTGATCTCTACTTTGAGATCACATGCTGTGAACTCTCTTTTGTTTTTTTCTCTCGTACATTTCTTGCTGACAAAACTTTCCCCTTTTCTATAAAGTCTTGTGTATGTGGTGTGTACAACCTTCTGTCTACTGGATATAGTAGCCTACTCATTTGATCTCTAGTAGGTAGGCACGCTCTCTCAAAATAAAGATTCTGACGTTGTGTTTGTGGTGTGAAATGTTTTGGCGTCCAATCTCCATGTGAATTGGGGGGTATTTTGTCCGTTTGGACTTTTTTAGAGTATAACGGAACTATCCTATACCCCCATTTCGGAATGTGTTATCTCCCATCTTATCATGCACCAACCAACGTCGAGCAAAAAGCAGAGACAAGCTTCTGCCCTCTTCCATTTATCTCCGCCCAATCCAACCTACACTTTTCCCGAAATCTTTTTTTTTCCTTGCAGTAGTATAAGCTGCTTTTTTGCTCCACGTCATTTGGGGAGAAATAGGAAACATAGCAACGGATCGTCCTACCACACCCGCTTGGTTACTTTCACCTAGCAACAATTATTGATGGAAAGGGTGGGGGGCCCTGTCCCTTAATCTGTTTATTATTCCCCTTGGGGATAAAAGAACCAACAATACGAAATAAATGGATTTGCCCTTGTCAATCGGTTACTTTCGGGGTGGAGCAACATGACAATGTGACCTCGCTTTTTTTTTCTGCACGGTGGAGGGGAAGGTTTGGCTTGGGCAAAAAGCATGTTTATAGTATATATACCTACGGTATTTGGACAGTCTATATCTCTCTAGAGGAGGGGATCTGAGAGTGGGTGACACAAGATCTGTCTGATTTAGGCAGCCAATCAAATATGCGGAATGTCTTATCAGTGTCGTTAAGGGTCGGATGATAATGAACTTCGGAATTTTCGTCCTCCCCCTCTCACCACCCACGCTGCATTTACATCATCATTCCATGTTTTATCACCGGGCAAAAATGCCATATATGTACATACGAACAAGGGGGACAAGTTATTATCAACAGATGATGGTGGTGATGCTCAACCCATCAGCAGTCATCCCATTGTGTGTATCATTTGTTTCTTAACGGCATAAACACAGCAAGAGAAAGATCTAGCACACACACATAGAAAGAGAGAGGGTGAGATAAAAGATCTTCCCCACTATAATCTCCTCCTTAAGCGGTCCTTCTTTCCAGATATCGTGGCCTTGATAACGTAAAATAAATATCCTGCTCTCTCTCTCTCGCAAACAGGCGGGAAGAAACTGATGTGTGTAACCGAAATGCGGGATAGGCAGAAATATGCTTTATTTTATCAGCGGTCAGTTTTACCCCACTGCTTAAACCATATCGCTATATACTCTATAATCCCGTCATACGCCACGTATGTGTTTTCTGATAACTTATACAGCGCACATAACCTACCGACGTTGCCATTTGTTTATGAAACGTGAACATCAGGGACGGAACAGATAAAGTTGTCCTGACGCGTGAGATCCGACTTTCTGTTTTTAATAATGTGTGTGTTTGTGTGCGTGTGATATTCAGACTCCCATTTGTTGTTGGCTAGGAATATGTTTGAGCAACATGCCATATTTAGCTTTCTCACTTTATTTTACTTCTGTAAACTCTTCTCTCGCTTCTTTTCTCTTCCCTTTACTCCCTTGACTCCATAACAGACAACATGCGTTTACAAAGGACCGATGATGTGTTTAACTCGAATATGAGCATAAAATGCTATCGAAAACCCAAGTGCTTCTATCGATGTATGCTGAGATAGTAAAGTGCACGTTCATATGCTATCATCTAGCGAAACCGCCAGAGGTAATGGCAACGGCTGTGTTACTTGGTATGTTATAGAAGTGGTGGCTATGCGATTGAACCAGACGGAAAGAAAAAGGATCAGAGGGTGATTATTTACAGGTTGATACACGCTTATATTATGCTGCTATTACTATTACTACGATTTTGTGAACATTATGTCAACGTCTGCTATTTCTACGGGCGCTGCTGACACAGGAGAGGTAGCGTCACCACAAATAATAATTTTGGTCACGACAACGATGATATAACAACCTTGTTTACTGTATTAAAGATACAAGATGGAACGAAAGAAAAGTCAATACTGCAATCTCACCTTCATTTTCATTGTATTCGTACGTTCTACATTGTTACAAGGGTGTAGCAATAACAGACAAGGGATTAGTCAACAATACGTACGTCAAGAATAAAACTGGTACTATAACATGAACATGCTGCCTATATAAGATCGGCCTGGAGTGATTGGAGAACGATATTCATTGAGGTCACTAGCATCATTATCATTCGCTACCTCACGAGACGGATTACATAAAGGTTCAACAGCCCAAAGTCCAGTCGAACATCAGAAGCTGCTACAAGTAAAAGCTATTAGTTGCTTCCATTCCATGAATGCCTCACGGGCGTATACGACGTTAGCATAACCCTTTTATTCAACCTTGATGCTGCTCAATGAATTCCTAAATACTACACTCAAGCGGGTCGGTGACAATCTTAACAGATCCCCTTGAAGAGATATTATGTACGACCACCCTTTCCTTGAGCAGCAGGGATTGGTCTTTAAATTACTTGCATACTGTAGCGAGTCAATATGGCTTTGGGTTGTTTGGGATCCAACTTGCCTTGGGGCGTTTCAAAAAAAGGGGATTATGGACACGTTTTTGATGAACGCATATAGATGCTGTTTGCATATATGTAGAGAGAGAGAGAGAGAGAGGATACAAGCTGTGCAAAAAGGTGACAGCACTTTAACTTTTGGTTATTGGTGACAGGGAAGAAGCTGTATAAAACATTATGGAACATAGAGTAGTGGCTGTACCAGCCGTGTATACAACAGTAACCCATCTGGCCTGATCGAATACTGGAAAATGTGGCAAGCCCTGAGTGCGCACATACTTACACATATGATAAGCGGCACTGCCGAAAGCTTTATCATCTCTGTCAAGACCCAATGAAAAGCGGAAACCTAATAATTGAGTTAATGTCAAGCCACGCCTTAAGAAATGTGTCTGTAATGCGGATCAATTTATTTCTATTCTGACAAAAAAGCAGGCAGGTGGAAATACTCACTACATACACATGAAGAGAAGTACTTGAGGTACTAGTTATTTTTTCCTTGTGAAACCTCTATAGCCAACCTGAATGGCGTCTTATACGTCTGAGTTGCGTACGAGTTTTTGTCTACTCTTCTTTTTGGATGGCCCTTATCAAAATAACTAGCTATTATCATACTTTTTATAATGTAAAACTGCTCATTAAATGGGTGCAACGGTTTCAATTACGCTGATTTTTCTTAGATCTTATATGCTTCTATTCTGCCACTATAATGACATGTATTAATTTTGCAAATGCTTTTGTTCTTTCTCAATATTTGATAACACACCAAGCTCAATCCCAGGATGTCAATCAATCAAGCTGAAGACGCCAATTGGATTGGCTATATGAGGTTTCACAATACAACCACGTATATGAAAAGCAGTTTAGAAAAACTCGTACCTATAGCACTTTTCATACAGGAAATACTCACTACATATGCATGTTTTTTAAGCTGGAAATGCTCATTTTTTGAACAAGCGATCAGAACAAAAAGAAAGTTGACAACATAATGGAAGTAGTTTTAGATGGCATAGAGTGTGAGTATAATCGTTTGTTGGACGATATAGACAAAACGAGAGAGAGAAAGAGAGAGAGAGAGTAGGAAAGAAAGAGTAACAAGATTTCTTAATTCCTGATTTTTTTAAAAGAATGAGAAAGCCATTAATAGAGAGAGAGAGAGAGAGAGAGGAAAAAAGTGACAGTATGTAATATACGTGCATGCATGAGAAGTCGACGAGAGAAAGAAAAAAAAAGAAGCATAGATGTAAAGTAGAGAAAGTGTGTGTGTGTGTGTGTGTTCATTGCGTTATATGATAGGTTTTGGATTCCCTTTTTTTTTAAACAGTTCATGATATGATGGTAATAAGGTGGGATGGGATGATGGATGATATGTTGCTGATGTAAGGCGGGATATCATTGATGGTGGGGGGGGGGGTTTATATATAAAAAAACAAACAAAAAAAAGAAAAGGATAGAGACACAAGAGAAGGCGAGCGACTTAGATCTTCCTTGAATCGGCATATCCCTTGCTGCTTGGCATTTCCGTTGTCGGTGGTTGTGGAACTGCTCCTGCTGCACCATGAGCAGTAGCACCAGCATTGTTGTTGTTGTTGTTGTTTGCCGCTGCTGCTGCTGCTGCCATGCCTGCGTATGTTTGTTGTGCTTGAGCCGTCAGTAGCGCCATGTATTCTTCCGGAAGCACCGGAAACTGTTGAGCCGCCGCTACCTGCTGTGCTTGAAATTGTGCTGCTGCTGCTGCTACTGCTGCTGTCTCTGCAGCCGACATTGACTGCTGTTGATGTTGTTGTAACTGTTGACCAGGCATCATGGCAACAGGAACAGGCACAGGCACAGGAAACAATGCAGGATGTTGTTGCTGTTGATCCACTATGGCTGGATGAGGTTGATGAGGCACAGTGGGTGTAGTGGTTGTGCAAAAGGACGATTCAACACTTGATCTTAATACAGGAGAAGGCACACGATGTGCACAACTCGCCGCAGATGAGGCTCGACGAGCAGCAATGGTGTTGTTGTTGTAGTTATGTAAGAATTGCTGCTGAAAGAAAGAGAACGCCAAATTGTAGGCGTAGGATGATGCGTCAGTACCCCATGTAAAAGAACTTGTATCGTTGTTGTTGCTGTTGTTTTTCGCCACCGAAGCGGCGCCGCCACGAGCAGCAACAGTATTCCTTAAACAAGTACTTACACCATTATTATTATGATTATGATTATGATTATTGTGATTCCTATTGTTGGTTGTAAATATAAATGGTTTAGTATTATTCCATGCAGAGGGCGACGACAATGGAGAAGGGGGGTGGGAGTAGTAAGCAAGTTGGGTTTACCGGTTGTTTGCCAGTTCAAAGAGTTGTTTTCGATCGTGGTGCGAAGCCGATTCAATCAGACGACTGTAATCGTCTGCAAACCGGTCATAGTAGCCACTGAAATCGCCCATCAGCTGGCCTGGATTGATACCTAGATCGCCCGCCAGCGCTTCGACGTTCACCTGCAGGTCTTCAATGTCTTGTGCAATTGCTTGAACCGACCGTGCTGCCGAGTCCATGGTCTGTGTGCAATTTTGAATCCCGCCTTCAATGTCTGTGATACCACTGCTCGACGAGCCACTCGAATAGAGCGCATCGTCATCAATGGACTGTAGCATTGCAAAAGGCATGGATGTGGCTGCTAGATGGGATGGGACTTGTGGCATTGCTGCTGCCGAATAAGCGGATGGTGTGGACGATGCTGTTGTTGTCGTTGTTGTTGCCGTAGCAGCAGCCACCACATCAGGTTTGCTTGGCGCAGCAGTCATCGTAGCACTAGTAGTAGGGGTAGTAGTGGTAGAAGCTGTCGCCAAGGCAGCAGCAGCATCGCCAGTAGTAGACGACGGTGTGCTTAGCGAAGACGAGGAAGACGACGACCCCTCTGCAGAAGAAGAGGAAATCGACGGGCCTGCAGCTTCGGGTGTGAGGTTGATGCTTGAGTACAATCTTGTTGCGGCAAGGAGTATATCGAGCGGTGATACGCTTGAAGGTGTTGCACACTTACCCGACAAACTCTTCTCGGGAGGACCCTCGTCGTCTGGTATGGACATTCCAGCCAAGGACGCGGCTTCCTTGATTAATTGGCGAGGCACTATTGGCGCTCCAACTTTTTGATACAGAACAGAAAGAAGAGGTGGGTTGTGTCAATTGGGGGGGACATTTGCTACTACTTGAAAAAAAAAGAAGCATATGATATGCATATGTAGAGAGAGTTTTTCAAAAGCACAGCAGTAGTGGTCGGTTTCGATGATAATATAATATGATGTGACTGTGCGCTCTCTCTTTCTCTTTTTCTCAAAAGCAAGAGAAGAAGAAAAAGGGCTGAACCTTACATAACCAAGATTAACAAGCATGATGGGTGTTGTGCATAGAAAAATACCTTTGCTGCTGTGGTCATCATTATTATTATTATTATCGCCTTGAAGAAGACTGCTGTCTGTGCTCGTACCACTATGCTCCATCAACACGCTCTCCGACGACGACGATGATGATAAAATAGAATGCTTACTCATGCCAAGCGCACGGTCATTGCTAAACACGGCTGTCAAAAACTGCAGTATCTTGGCAATCACATCCTGATGGCGCTGGTGTTTTTCGCGAGCGGTCAACGACTCTTCCCAGAGGACGGCATTGTCGCGCTGCATGGTGTGCAGTTCGCTGCTGATACTTGTCTGGTGTTTGCGGATGGCCGTGATATCCTTGACAAGCGTGGCCAGGCTCACGTCTTCTTCGTCGCCTCGCTCTCGGTTGCGTTTGCGAGTCACAAGCACGAGCATTTCAGGTCGGCTGCGTTGAAAATTCGGGTTGCTGAACTCCCATCGCTCGTGTTTTGCATCGCTAATCAGCACACCTTGTTGCAAGTGGGGCACTTTGTGGAAATCGTACATGTTGAGCTGACGTACAAAGGACGCGAACGTGTTGTGTTTGTAGAATCGCGGAAGAACGGACTTTGCGAATTGTTCATGGCCTTCCACTGCGTTGGGTTTATAGAAGAGAGAGAGCGTCAATAGTCGGGTTGAGAAAGAATGGGCAGGTTTTGCATCAACAGTCTGTTGATGAAAAAGAAAATATAAAGTACCAATGAAAGAATTGCCGTCTTTTGACCAGTGGATAAGGTTATCTGTGGTTGGGTCGTTGACCATGCTACATTGGTGTTGTTTGATCAATATATAGTCTTTGGGCTCGAAACACAAATAGTCCACATATTTGTATATATATATATATATATATATAGATTTTGTGCACTCTTTAAAATTTTACCTGTACAACTTGTTCAGAAAGGCAGGCACGTTGCGCTGGACAAAGATTCTTTGAGGAATCGCACCGTTGCTGCTGCTGCTGCTGCCGCTGCTGCTGTTGCCGCAGTTGCTGACATCGCTTGATGGTTGTGGCGAGGACATGTCCGAAGACTCATCACTGCTTGGCGCCATCGTCTGTCGTCGTTTCTGTGTAGAGCGTGTCTCGACGGATGTGCGTGAGGAGTTGAAAGCAACGGAGGATGAGGGTGAGAAGAGGTTGGATGAAGGGGTGGATGTGGATGACGATGAGACAGACGAGGACAACGAGCGCTTGCGACTGTTGGCGGCACGTCCTTTGCTGTTGGGTTTGGTGGACCCATCGTTGGGTCTTGTCATGTTCTGTAAAAGGGGTTTTTTTTTGGTTGTTGAAAGTGTGGTTGGGTGGTGGTAAAGAAGCGTGTGTGTGTGCTGGTCGTTACTGTGACGATAAGGGTCAATTATGATTATTCTTGTTGTTCTGTAAGCATGGAATAACATCGGTGACGGCACATACAAAAGATGGTTGAGGTTTAAAGTAAGTAACGATGTTCTCTCTCTCACAGCTGTAGCAGCAACAGCAGCAGCAGCAACAGCAGCAGCAGCAGAAGTACACAGCTGTGAATGGTGTGAATGCGTGGGGGAGTATATAAGATGGACGATGTGTGGTTTTTTCCAAAACATACCAGTACCGCAAAGAAAATAAAAAAGCAGCAGCAGATTGTTATAGACGGCAGCGTAAAGTTAAGTAGTGGGTTTTGGGGGAGGGAAAGAAAGAAGTGTTTTGAACGCCACTGGTGTGTGTGTGTGTGTGTGTGTGTGTGTGTGTGAAATACGGGGGGAAAACGAAAATAAGAAAAAGTGAAAAATAAGTGGAAAAGGAGCAAAAATACGGTCATGCACCAAACAGGACAATATCGACCTTTTTCCAAAAATCCCGACTCTTTACGCTTTTGGAACTTATGCGCTTTTTCCTGGCTCTCTTTCTCTCTCTTTTCTTCTCTTTCTTCTCTTTTTACCTTACCGCTTAAAGCGGATTGGACTGGCTCCCCTCTCTCTCTCTCATTGCTGTTGCCCATGCCATCAGTTTCCCCGAGTCAAAAGAAAATTTTTTTTTACTCGATCGTCGATTCATTTGATTTAGTGCGATGATCACAATGGTTGCACGGCAACAACAGAGCGCACAAGGCTCACCCACACCCACCCCAAATAAAAGTAAAGCTTTTCTTTTCAGCGTTACGGTACAGTACCGACTTATCGGCTCCTTTTCTTTCAACAAAGAGAAAGCTGAAAGGCTTCAATAACAATACCTGTTGTTCACTTGTTTCTTTGAGAATTGCTGCTGCTGCTGCTGCTGCTGCTGCTGCTGCTGCTGCTGCTAACTGTTACAAGTGAGTGTGCACCGTTAAGAATACGTGAGAGAATAGAGAGAAAGAGAGAGTGAGAGAGAGAGAGAATAAAAGGCTGAAAGACTGCATGCGATATATCGGACACCCATCGAACAAAGAAACTTTCGTTTCGTGTTAGAGATGGACGACGACGGATCGCTTTGCATAGTAGTAGCTTAGCAGTCTATATACACCATATATGTTCTCTGTTACACAGAAGCCAAGCGATGTTTCCAGAGACTTCCATTCGTCCAGCTAACGATGCTCACATCAAAGAGAGCAAGGACAACCCTTACTCTCGCCTCCTTGTCAACAATAATACCGCAGGAGGCGCCCACTTCTTTGTCACACTGGCTTTCTCCCTTGTTTTTTTAACTAGCGTGCCCGAATAGGGTCTTTTCGGAGGGGATCTCGATAAATTTTTTTGGGTCAAGAGTGGAACATCCACCACTAATAGCATTCGTATATAAGACTCAGACAATTCAAGCGATTATAAATACGTCGGGATGAGAACGTTTATGCGCTAGAATTGTTATTGGAGCGACATGATACAGACATGTACGCCCATACTGTATACTCCTAATACAACAGCCGCATGAAACGTGCGTAAGTACGCGCGGCTCATTATGCCGGAAAAAAAGAAATCAATGCTAGCTAGTCAAGTGCTAAGACAGCCCTCCCCCCCCCCCGGGTATAAGTACCATCTTTCTCGATCCCGCACGTCTCTTCGTGGTCAAGTCCCCACCCCTCTACCCAAGCATTGGTCACATGTAGTATCTTGTTCTATTTTGACATAGGATGACCCATTGTGCCATGTAGTACTTGAGCAAACAGCAGCAACCCTGTGAGTTTGTGTTCTTGTGGTTTGCAATGAACTTGTCATATTTTTTATGACCATTAAATACCTTTCTTAAACCTAAAACTGTTCTGTCCTTTGCCCCGCGTTCTTCTCGATGACCGACACAACCCTTTTTATTTTGCGCTGACCAACTCCCCTCTCCCCCTTTGATTGCCCGCGAAACTATAAAATGTATTATTAAGAATTAACGCGCGAGGGGTTACTCTTTGGAAAAAAGATCGGATCGGTTGATCGATTTTCCAAAAAATAATTCTTGGGACGACTTTCCATCTTTAGGATAGGCCAGGACTAGTAAAGTGTGACACAATACTAGTGTAAATGCCCCATGTCACTACGCCTCCTTATAAACCAATGAAGCTCTCAAGGACAATCCCGTAATTATACCTGCAAAACAGATCACACTCACCTCTTTACTTGCATATTTTTAGCTACCTTGAATAACATGCACTCTGTGCAGTTTGTAATCCACTTGACAGCAGCAAAAGTTGAGCATTCCCCTTACAGCGATGTTAATAAAAGAACAACAACAAAAGGGTGACTCGTTCTTTTAACAAGTTCAAGTCAACAGTATCAACAACTGCTGAGCAAGTTGGTGACGAAGCGCGTAAAATGTATTATGTATATATCAGCTTGTACGTATCAACATGCTTTTACCCCGTTTTAGATTATTTGGTCTTCAATTGGATGACAATAGACAAACTAGCCGAGTTCTTGGCACTCTTTTTTTCTCCAGCAATGGCAAATGAAAAAATTCAGTCAAGGTTGCAGGAATAGCCAAAGCTCATGCGTGTGTATATATTATAGCGTGTTACAATACCTTGTGTTTATGATTTAATACATAGAGTCTGAAGTACATGTACATATTATAGTGCATAGTGTGATGATGACTGGGAAAGAAACTACATCATTAGCACCTTCTCTCGCCTCTTTCTCATCCGCGAGTTACGCGACCAGCTTTCCTTCCGGTCAATGTATGTACACTGAGAATAGAAAGCTTGTCTTGGCCACCCTGCATGATACACAAAGAGCAGTGTAAAAGTTGGTTCATTGAGGCCAATCACGTGCCAAACTTCCACGAGTAAATCCGACCTTGTACCAAATATATACAATGATTTATTCAATGAAGAAATATACACCTTTCTTGTATCAACAACGACTACTGTGAGCTCCGTCTTGACAAGATTTAATAATTATGTATACGTCAAGGAATACACTTATTCTCAAAAACATCAACAATCATGAAGAACGTATCATTATCATCACTGTATATCATGCAAATATGGAAACAGTGGTCATGTTACACCACATTGCAACAGACATTCTCTTGTTTTACGCCAACATGCATCACAAAAGACATCCCTCCCCTCTTAATTATGGAATATCGTTCTGGATCTTTGTATCTACTACTATTTTTGTGTCGGCTGCTGAACCCAAAATGTACTACTTATAATCGACTACAATGCTATTGCTGGGCTTTCGCCGCTATCATGGTTTTATCATTATGAAGAAGAAACAAGTCGCAATGTTCTGTAAAGCATATGCAAAAGTTCTCGAATTTGAAACTGGATATATATTACTAAAGTCCAAGCTCTTTTGTGTATCTATAAGGATATCAATTAATTTTAATGAAGCATGAGCTATTCTGTTGTTTTTTCCAGACCGGTACAACATAAGAAATGATTAGTCAGTTGTATTGCTGCAAACAGCAAGGAGGAGGAAAACGGATTATGACCAGGGCATTCTTCTTCTCAATACCACAATTTTTGAGTTTCAGTTTTCTGTAACAAGCTTATGACGAATAAAAGAAGGAGCTTCGGAGTATTGGCACGAGAAGCTAATAATAAAAATCTCTTTGAGGGAAGCTAATAATGACAACAATATAAAAATCGCTTTTATTGTGTACTTGTCACGATAAATGTGCTAGTTGTAGCTCTTATTGAAATGTCAAAGCTACTTTAGCAGATTCACCAGAGCATAATCATCTTGGCAACTTACTTGGACAATAAATCCAACCTTTAATTCCGGGTACATAGAAAGCCAATCAAGATTTTTGCTTGTCAACAAAAAGTGGAGATGGAGAAACCACCACAGGCAATGATAACAAATATTAGCATAGCTTTAAAAAGCAGACAAGGTTTACAGTATTCCGTTGTTCGAGCAATAGGCAACCGTCTTGAGCTCTTATGTATCCAATGATAATCTATTGTAAGCGTGCGTTTGATCTAACTAACTCACTTTTCATGTAAACGCATTACTACTACTACAGTGTAAATGAGTCATCCTGTCTTCTATACAGAGTATATTACATAGTATGTGTTTGCGGTTTGTATGGAGGAGCGAGAAAGCACCTCTGATCTATGAATAATTGACCTGCTTCCGTGACAATAATGTTCAACTGAGTATTTTTTACTGTAATCGTAAACCAGAAAAATGGGACCACTTCTACTGTTGCTTTGGCTATGCATGGTCAGCAGAACACGAATTCAAAGTAATCCACTCACTGTTCCTATAAAAAGCTCTTGTTTGTTCCTTGTCTTTTTCTTCTTTCATCATTCACACAAGTAATACATTAGGATGGCCGTAATGCATTATGCAGGATCTGTGCCGTATGCACTTGTCATTCCTACTTTCTTCTTCTCTGTCAAGGCTGCTTTTCAACAAGGAACATGAAGAAGGCTCGTTCGCATCCATCCCGCATTTATCAATGGTATCAACGTCGAAGCACTATGTCATTGCATTCGGCTGTTGCGGTTTTCGAGGGGAGTGTCACGCCTCAAGCTATCATCATCGCCTGTTCAAGTGTCATGGATACCTAATCCATCTTGATGACAGCTGATATGAGCAAGATCTCATCATGCGTTCTCGTGCGTGTCATGCCT